TTTTTTTCATTTTTATTCAATCCCAATATGATTTGAACCCTAGGAAAGTTTGAATCAAACCAGCTGGGTATGTAGCGAGAATCATGGATAGAGGCAAAGTTTTTTATTTTTTTTCCTTTCTTTTTTATCTTGTACGTGGAGGATGAACAGTTATACAAACATTTATTGGAAATTTTTTAGATTGGCCTGCTTGGTGTTATTAATTCATATTCTTATAATAACAATTATATATGTATACAAAGAAACTGCACCTAAAATCACGTTGAAAGCAAAAATGTGAATATCAAGCAAAACTCATTAATTGAGAGCTTCCAATTTTTAAGGTATGAATTTAAAAGATTAAGCTTCCTTGCATGCATATGTGTATTCAAGAAACCATGTCTAACATCATATCGAAAGCAAAAGCATATATACATCGTGCAGAATTGATTAGATCGGAGTTTCAAGTTTATCAACATAATCTTATTATTTGGAGAGTTTGTGTTGTGGATTGCCTCATTTCTTAAATTCGCGTTTGTTATTTGATTTCTTTAAACTTCGTTTTTTGGTGACATGACGAGGAAGAAATTAGTTGAGACCAGCAGATAGGAGAGGTCCCATACAGTTTTGTCCTGTTCTTTGTTTTTCCTTTTGGTTTATTGGATAGGGAAAAGGAAAACACAAAGACTTCTTTCTATTCCTCGTCCAGGAAAGTAAGCAGCGAATTTTGATCCCGGCAGGTGAAAAATAACTTGGATTCACAAAAATTGCAGCTGAAACATTAATTGGCTATCGAAAGACCATTTAGCTCAATTTATTCACTGAATCTTGAGGGCTTTAAGAAAGATTTCCATTCGTTATTCATGGCAAAAATGTTGATGCAGAGTTGATAAATTACCTAAATGATGGAGCATGTTGTGGTCCAATGTCGAACCTTGAAATCCTATGTTGCTCTGGCCTTTGTGTCTGTGAAATATTGCGATATGATATAATTTATGTTCGATCCTTTTTCTTTTTTTTTTTTTTTGGAATGGAAAATTTATTACAAATTGAATCTTTTTACCTTGGTTGTTTAGAGCAGGATAATTTGATCTAAGTCAAGCTTGCATTTTGCAGGATCAATCCTGTCTTTTCTCATCTTTGTCAATATAAGTTGAACTTTACCATTCAAAATTCTAGTAATATTTGTCAACTTCAATGGTAGTCTCTGTTTCTCTTTTTGTTTTGGTACAACAAAGAATTGATATAATCATTTTGATCATCAACATCAGGGTTTTAAAAAGGTTGATCCTGATAGGTGGGAGTTTGCAAATGAATGGTTTTTACGAGGTCAAACTCACTTGTTGAAGAACATAGTGAGGAGAAGCATAGTAGTAAAACCATTGGTTCCCATCGAAAACACGTAGATGATGAAGATGAGCAGCTATTGATGGAGTTTTCAAAGTTGAAACATGAACAGAAGAGTTTGGAACAAGAGCTCGAGTGCATGAACAAAAGGCTGGAGGCAACAGAGAGGAGACCCCAACAAATGATGACTTTCTTATACAAACTCGTTGAAGATCCAGACATCTTAACTCGTGTGATGCTCGAAAAAGAGAAAATGAAAAGGTTGGCTTTAGGTAACAACGAGAAGAAGAGAAGGCTCGTGATCTGTTCAGCATCTTCAAATTCTTCGACTGGAATGGCCATGTCAAGTTCATCAATCAAGAGTGAAGATGATCAAGAAGGTGCTCTGCTCAGGGAAATGTCCCCAATTTCATTACGGGATGAGAATTTGGAAGTCGATACATTTTATCAATCTTCGCCACTACTAGAGGCTGCTTTCCCAGAGTGGTTAAACCGAGGACAAGGCATAGATATGCCTATGATTGAGCAAGATCCTTACAATAGTGCCACCATTTCTGGTTCTTCACTGTGTTCCTCCGGCAAAAGTGGCGGTTTTGTGGTTGCACCGCCACCAATAAATAGCATATCCAGGTATAATAATGCTGGTGGTATGAATTCAGTTTATTACGAAGAACATATGGATGGGGAGAATTCTAGTACACCGCAGCATCCATTCTCACTGTTAGGCGGAGGATTTTAGTTGCATTATTTATTTGGTATTCAGAGTGCGTTTAATTCTTCGTTTTGAAGTCATTTTCAGTTTTCAATTTTCTAAAACACTCAAAACGTGTTTATTATGTTAATTTAAAAAATACATTTTCGAAAATAAGGAAAATTTTACAGCATAAAATTCAAAATGACTTTTTGACATTTTGAGTATTGTCAATGAAAATATTCAAAAAAAAA